AATGTAACTATGTGATAAGTTTGTCACATTTTATAACCCAATAGCAGTTATATCTGTAGTAATACATTTGCTTCAAGTAAAAAGCCATATTTTACAACATTTGTTTCATTTTGCATGTTTGAACTTTGTGTTTTTTCACAAGAACAGAACAGAAACAATTTAAAACACCAACTGTATGAGAAATAAAAAGTGTTTTTTGTTTAACCTCGTTTTACTACTTGACATTATTTTTACACACGTCCCATGTTATGATCTAATTGAATTTCAGGTTTAAAAGTACGGAAAACTATGAGTTTTGCCAAATATTTAATATGTAACAATACAATCTGTGCCTGCTCCACAATCTGGATACATGGATAAACAAAATATTGGATTTTGGGCACAAACCTAAAGTGACTGAAATGGGTTATGTAGGCAGGAAATGAATGTATTTACTTCAGAACATACGTAAAACAAATCAACAATAGTGTTGCTACGGAAGAGGATTAGGGCCACTGAAAAAAAAAAAGTTAACTGATTTTTAGATTTTATTTCAGTTTAATATGAATTCTGACTTTAAACTCAGAATTCTGACTTTTTTCTCAGAATACTGACCTTAATCTCAGAAGTCTGACTTGTGGGAGCACTAAGCTTCACTGACAAAGATGTGAGTTGTTTGAGGTGGCCAGTGAATTAGGCAACTTTTTACGTGCCCGAGGGGTCGCCTCATTAATGGAGGAGCAGAAGGTCATTAAAACAAAAGAGCTAGTCTCTAAAACAGACATGGCTATGGCTTGATGCTAACATGTAATACTGTTCCTTGTAAGGTGCTGTACCGGCTGTGATGAGCCTGATCGCTGATTGTTATTATTCTGTTCTGCACAGATAAACATCTCAACTCACCCTGTCTCTTGGCCATCATTAACACAACGCAGAATCGAACCACACTATATGAAAGTGTGTACTGAGGTTACACATGAGGGATTGAGTTCGAGTCAATGAGTCGATATAATCAACTAGCTTAGATAGAAAACTTTAAATCAATTTGGTGAACTGGAAAGTGCCTTGAGATGACATGTGTTGTGAATTGGCGCTATAGAAATAAACTGAATTTAATTCCCTCTCCCTCGTACAGCAAGCATCCTTGTTGTCACACATTTATTTTTTGATGCTCAGAGAGGATCAGTATTTTAAATTTGTGTTTTCTGTTCTCCTGAGCTCCTGCCAGGGGTAAAGCACGCTGTTCATCGCAATGTTTTATTAATTACGTATGTCCAATCTGCCCACTTGCTGGCACAAGAGCAGAGAATCCTGTTTGGCCCCACCAGCCCCATGCATTTCAATGAAATGCAATTGTTACAACTTCATACAACCTTCATACGAAAATGCATATTTACGGACAAATGCTGCTATGACCATGATTTTGATGAAGGAATAACATTATAAAATTGTTAAAAGCTCACAGAAGTTTATTTTGCAGGACCTGTAAGGCTATGCGGGTGGAATAACAGGAATCTCCAAGCAAAAATTCCCCCACAGTGACTTATCGCTGTTTGCTGGGATTGCTTAATGGAAGATGATCACTTAAATGTGTCTGGCGATCACAAGGGGGGAAAAAAATAAGCAAATTTGTTTTAAAAAAGTCAAATTTTTCAAAGCACTGTATGTCTCTTGTGAGCTATGTATACAGAGGACCAAAGCTGCCACCAGCCCTACAATATCTCAGTGAGCCATGAAATGCTCCATTACTGAGAAGCCTTCGTTCTTTGCGCTGAATAAACAGCAGCCCTCCCTGCTCTCCACCTGCAATGGGCTATGGAGCCATTTGCTCCCAACTAACAAGAGGTCCATTGATCAGGCAGCCACTGCGACAGTCTCATTATGGTTGCTCACCCTGCCCTGTCTATCAGCTCCTCTCTCCATCCGTCTCTTTGCCTGCCAGAAGCAGCCGCCGTCTCATCATTCGGAATTAGCTCCGTTGCTTAATCCGTGAAGGTCGCAGCCAATTGCTTTACGCTTTTTACTCTTCTACATGGTTTTAAAGGGTGACACATGCAGAGCTGTGGTTTACAACCAGCAAACACAGTCATCACAGTCCTTGTATTCCCTTTTTTTTTGCAGACAACATGTACTAACAGCCAACATTAGGGCCAGATTAAACTATATTTCTTTTTTTTTATGTTACCCACTTTATAACTGCTGTTTTTATAATACTTTTATAAGGATAAAAAACACTGAGGATGCATGCCAACATACATTAAACTGGATCTGAGCATAATCAGCGTCATCTTGGCGGATCTGCCAGTATTGTGAAGGGATGGACAGCAGTTCCCATTCTCCGTCATTCATGAACTCCCTCTTATCGTTAGCTATGGCCTCTGCGCTCCTCCACAGAGCCAGGTCGATTTCTTTCACTGCCAGGGGAGAGATAAAACAGGAAGGAAAATAAAACTCGGCGTGGGGAGATGGAAACCCAACAACGGGAGGAGGGGGATAGTTCTTTTCTGTAATGTGTTCCTGCCTTTGTTACACTGTGTGAGAAAGAGCTTGAGTGCTAAGATAGCTTTAGTTTGACATCTGAGGGGATTACAGGCAATGTTAAAAGAAATCGCTCCTGTTCTAGTCCGTTTGTGCAGCTTAAATAAAAGTTTCTTCCAAAAAATTATATTTTTACATTATTTTTACATGAGAAACTTTGCAAACAAAACCAGCATCTTTTTTTTTTTTTGATTGTTTAGCTACGGAAGAGGATTAGGGCCACTGGAAAATAAAATAAAAAGTTAAATGATTTTTAAATTTTATTTCAGTTTAACATGGGGAAAAAAGTCAGAATTCGTTTTTGTCATAGATCAACACAAAGTAGAAAACAACCCAGCAGTTCCTAGTTTTAGCACTTAGAATCTGAAAGATGTGGAATGAATTTATTTTATTATTTTCTTCCTTGGAATTTTGATGATCATTGAGTGACGAAACAGCTTCATGAAAGCCTAGAAAGAAACAGCTTAGGTTAGAGAGCCAATTAGTGACAAGATTAAGTTTGCATTTGAAGATTTGAATGTAACTATGTGATAAGTTTGTCACATTTTATAACCCAATAGCAGTTATATCTGTAGTAATACATTTGCTTCAAGTAAAAAGCCATATTTTACAACATTTGTTTCATTTTGCATGTTTGAACTTTGTGTTTTTTCACAAGAACAGAACAGAAACAATTTAAAACACCAACTGTATGAGAAATAAAAAGTGTTTTTTGTTTAACCTCGTTTTACTACTTGACATTATTTTTACACACGTCCCATGTTATGATCTAATTGAATTTCAGGTTTAAAAGTACGGAAAACTATGAGTTTTGCCAAATATTTAATATGTAACAATACAATCTGTGCCTGCTCCACAATCTGGATACATGGATAAACAAAATATTGGATTTTGGGCACAAACCTAAAGTGACTGAAATGGGTTATGTAGGCAGGAAATGAATGTATTTACTTCAGAACATACGTAAAACAAATCAACAATAGTGTTGCTACGGAAGAGGATTAGGGCCACTGAAAAAAAAAAAGTTAACTGATTTTTAGATTTTATTTCAGTTTAATATGAATTCTGACTTTAAACTCAGAATTCTGACTTTTTTCTCAGAATACTGACCTTAATCTCAGAAGTCTGACTTGTGGGAGCACTAAGCTTCACTGACAAAGATGTGAGTTGTTTGAGGTGGCCAGTGAATTAGGCAACTTTTTACGTGCCCGAGGGGTCGCCTCATTAATGGAGGAGCAGAAGGTCATTAAAACAAAAGAGCTAGTCTCTAAAACAGACATGGCTATGGCTTGATGCTAACATGTTTGTTAGCTGTCAGAATTCTGAGATTAAAGTCAGAATTCTGAGAAAAAAGACAGAATTCTGACTTTTTTCCCATATTAAACTGAAATAAAATTTAAAAATCAGTTAACTTTTTTTTTTTTCAGTGGCCATAATCCTCTTCCGTACTTAGCAACACTATTGTTGATTTGTTTTACATATATTCTGAAGTAAATACATTCATTTCCTGCCTACATAACCCATTTCAGTCACTTTAGGTTTGTGCCCAAAATCTAATATTTTGTTTATCCATGTATCCAGATTATGGAGCAGGCACAGATTGTATTGTTACATATTAAATATTTGGCAAAACTCATAGTTTTCCGTACATTTAAACCTGATATTCGATTAGATCATAACATGGGACGTGTGTAAAAATAATGTCAAGTAGTAAAACGAGGTTAAACAAAAAACACTTTTTATTTCTCATACAGTAGGTATTTTAAATTGTTTCTGTTCTGTTCTTGTGAAAAAAAAAACAGTTCACACATGCAAAATGAAACAAATGTGGTAAAATATGGCTTTTTACTTGAAGCAAATGTATTACTACAGATATAACTGCTATT